GCAGGCTCGATATCACAACGATTACGAGTATCGGATTCAAGCGGAGTCAGCACGGCTACTGTCCCTATCATTGATCAAAGGAAAACGATACAATCTATCTCCGTGATATATGTGGACGACATCCTGATTGCTGGGAATTCGATTGCGGAGATCAAACGTCTTAAGGAGAAGCTATCAAGAGAATTCAAGATGAAGGACCTGGACTAGAGCGGGTGACAATCGACCAGAAGCAGTACGTGAAGAAGATTGTGCAACGTTTAGATATGGCAGATTGTCGCTGCTATTCCCATGGATCCTCATCTGAAGCTGCTCAAGTGTGAAGATGCTCCGCGGTTCACGAAGAAGCCGTACAAGGAGCTGATTGGGTGCCTAATGTATATCACCCATATTCTCGTTTTCGTTCTAACCGTATTTTCCATACAAAAAAAAAGTTTTTTTTGTATGGAAAATACGGTTCGAACGAAAACAAGAATATGAGTGTATGTATCTAATGATTACATCCAGACCTGGGCCCTTATTACCGATGTCACATCACGGTGAAGTGACAAGTTATCACTCACGGTGAAGTTATTCCCATTTGATTTACACGGCAATCACTTCACCTTGAGTGCTGACAACTGGTCACTTCACTTCGTTTTCACCGTGAAGTGACATTCGTAATAAGGGTCCTGATATCTGCGCAGCGGTAAGTTATTTTGCGAGTTTCCAGTGCTGTGCCACTGACGAGCATTGGGCTCACCTGAAGCGGATTTTGTTGTACCTGCGAGCTACCGTTGAACACAAGTTTGTTTACCGGAGATCAATGGAATCGGAAATACTTGCTGTGTATGCTGATGTGGATTGGGGTAACAATCCAAACGACTGACAATCCGTTTCTGCGTACATACGTGGTTAAGCTACATGGAGCAACGATCTCGTGGGCAACCAGGAAGCAGACATCGGTGGCACTGTCAACAACTGAGGCGGAATTCATGGCTCTTTGCACAGAACAGAAGGAGAAGTGCAAACAAATCGGTGAATCAAAAAGTGGTTCGTTTTTCTGCTCAACAAGCGATGTGTGTGGTAGCGTTCCAGACGAACTTTCTATGTGCACTCACACTATCATAGCATGCTGCCTATCTTAACTGCAGGCAGAAGATGCCTTCTACCGCTAGGTGCGCTAGTGTTCGCAAATGACAAGTGGAGCCACTTTCTGATCCGAAGTTCCACTCCTGTGCTCTTTGTCAAGCTAGCTTCGAGGCAATGTGGGTGGTGAATCTATTGAAGATGCTTGACGTGGCAATTGCCTTATCGGTGACTGTATATGAGGACAACCAACCGTGTATTGCTATCTGCGAAGAACCGAGGAAGCATATCGACATTCAGCATATCAAGCTACAGTACCAACCAACCGAGGATCAATTAGCAGACATATTGACAAAAGGACTTCCTACTCCTAGATTTACAAAACTGCGGATAATTCTGGGATCATTCAATTGAGGGCGGAATGTTAGAAGTACAATTAATCACAGCAATCTATGAATATACGATTGTATCAAGTCTAGAAAATAAAACTTTCATCCCTTTGTCTACCACCAAACAGTAAAAGGTGTATTTAGTTTTCCCTCTGTTAAAAGGCAAATTATAACGACGAATTCTGAACTCAGAGGATGAAAAAGAAGAAGTTTCAAGAAAAATTCTAAAGGAACTCTGATATGAAATCCAGGGAAATCTTAATTTGATAAAAGTTATACATTCCACAGACTGAAAGCATTCTGCGGGCCGCACAAACTCACTCGGAGAGCCGCATGTGGCCCGTGGGCCATTGGAAGAGCATCACTGCTCTAATACATAATTTAAAGTACGTTCAGACTACAGAGTTATAACATGTTATAGCGCTATCTTGAAGGTGGTCTCTGTGTTGCAATTATTTGACAACCGTTATAACATGTTATAACTCTCTAGTCTGGACAGCCCCCCTTAGAGTCACCTCACCGGTGAGGTGACTCTCCATGCAAATCAAATGGAGAGTCACCTCACACGAGGTGACTATTGTCACCTCACCGGTGAGAGAGAGTCACGTGACTCGCAGAATAGGGGGGATTGACAGTTGATGTACACTGCAAATAAAATTCACGTAATATTCACCTGAAAAGGTACGTAGATATTTTCCATCGAACTTTTCAGGTGAATATTACGTGTTTTGGAATATTTTTTTTTTTCAAATGTGTCATATGAAAATCAAGTGATTTTCACGTAAATTTTATCGGACGTACCGATGGACGTCAAATTGGCTTCACTTAAAAGTTACGTGATTTTCTAGTACATTTCACTGGATTTTGCAGTAATGTTTCTGTGAATTTATGGTAGATTTCTTTGGTTAATTTCTTTATTAAATGTATCTTAAATAATAATCAGGCCCATTCTGCGCCGCGAGTGAGGTGAGGTGACTCGCTGTCACTAGTGAAGTCAGTTTATGTGAGGTGATTCTTTAGTTGATGTACTCGGAGAGCCACCTCACATGAGGTGACTATTGTTACCTCACCTCACTCGCGGCACAGAATAGGCCTCAATGCATTCTAGTTAATGTTCTTTTTGACCAAAGGCAAGCCATAAAAGAACAATTCTCGTAGATGTGAATAAAAGTTAACTTCATTAGTTGGATTTTTGCTTCATTTAATTAGCGTAATAAGCTTAGTTTATTTCTTAGTTACTACAATCTGTATCAAACCTATTCTTAATTCTATACATATAAAGACCGTTAATATGGTGTACGATGTTCAGCTCCGGGAACGACTTCTAGGGTGTCACAAAGAGATTCACTTCCGGGAATACTCTCAAGGCTTGGAATTTTGGGTGATATTATTGTTGCTCTATGTGCCTCCGTTGCTGACCAAGGCACTTATAATCGCTGCTTTCTGTATAAAAAACGGAAATTTGCAATGGTTATTTATTGGTTTATTGTAAAATCATAAAATTTAGACACTTACATTTCTGTTTCGCCAGGAAATGATAAGCTAGAAGAGGATATCATAATTCCAATTTACGTCCGCTTGTTGTAAGCACTCCTGTAGGTCTTTGTATGAGCTTGTGAGGAGCTCAAATGATCCGATTCCACACTCTACAATTCATAGTACAATGAATTACAGAATATTCAATTATAAATTAATTACACTTACGCTCAAAAACTTCAAAAAGACCGTCTGGTAATCCCAAATCACCTAACAACAACAACGAACTCACACTTCTTTCTGTCGTCATTTTGAACGATAATTTTCACACCAAGAGATCACGTACAATTTACGTGAATTTCACTTAACATTCACCAGTATGACACTTGACTTCGACCAGTCAATCTAATGGAATTTATTACCATGTCATTGAATTTCATATGCATTAGGTGCTTCTTATTGGATTGCTATTTTTGAGAAGTTACCTGAATTTTCAGGTGAAATTTACGTTCCTTATTGGTTCAGTGTAAACATTACGCTCCGTTTCTGCGTTTGTTTGAACGGCCATGGTAACGTTATGGTATTGATGAAAATTTATCAAGTGGTTAAATCATAGAGGTAACTCTGGTTAAATTGTGTTTTCAATTATTCTCTCGGTGTTTTTCAGTTTCGTTTCTATCGCTCTATGAAATTAAAAGAAAGCAGTGCATGCAAGTGAGTTCACGATAGCTTCAAGAAACAATGACCGTCCTATCGGTTGGTCATACTCGGATCGGTGAAACTCAGCGCAAGCCATAATGATGGTAACGTATGACTGAAGCTTAAAATCATTCAAACATCAACGCCACCGCTATCACTGACGGCAGCTTCAAGAACCAATGGCCGTGCCAGGGGATTGCATTTACCACCCTGACGACAACAGATAAAGAAGTGCCTGAGCCGTCATTTCCCACTCCGGTGGCAGAAACGTCATCCACCAACATTTTGATTGAAGTAAAAGTTGTTAGTTCTTTGGCTCGATTATCTGCCAATCTAAGACAGCTGATGCAAACATAGAGAAATTATGCTCCGTCCACATAGATTTTTGATTTATTACGCGGCGCATACGTGTCGTCAATGCACATATAAACATAGCATAAAAACTGTAGGCTACAGTGCTGACACCACCAATGGTGGTGGCTTCAGCAACCCTCCTTCTTGGCAGAAGATTGTCATTTCCCCCGATTTTACATCGAAATTCGCTGGCTTTCCCTGGTGATTTCGAAATCCAGATTTACTGGTCACCTTGTCCTTCTTAATTCTTCTCAAAATATCTTTGAAGGAATTTAAATGTTGATCCAAATTCACGTAATAATTCTTCAAAGTGACAGAATCCTGCAAATCAGTTCAGTCCCAGGTCCAGAACGTTGTTTTTTTCTTTTGCCGGTTTCAGAATTAAACGCATGCATTTGTCAGTACGGCTCTCTAGAAATACCATTCTGAAGAAATTATGGAGATAGTTATAAAACGTACTTCTTCTTCTTCTTCGCATTTCAAGCTTGCATATCGCATATTAGTTTATTGCGTGCTCTCAACTTAGTGTTATAGATGCACTTCCACAGTTATTAATTGAGAGCTTTCGATGCCTGTACCATTTTTGCATTGGTATAATTGTGTGGCAAGTCCACATACTTCTATGCTCAGGGAAGTCGAGAAATTTTCCAACCTTAAAAATTCTTAGACCGGACCGGGAATTGAACCCAGCCACCTCCAGCATGGTCTTGCTTTGTAGCTGCGCCTTTACCGACTGAGCTAAGGGAGGCCCCAATAAAACGTACTTGCTCTGGATGATTGCTCTATTCTTTTCCCCGATTGGTATCTCTCTGTTTCTAAATGCGCTTTGTGCTGAAAGCAGTTACCTTGTTTTGCAAAAAAGTAGTTTGTTGATCTGCTTTTTCCTATTTGATTCTGACACTTCTGTGGAGAGAAGATTTCCCAAACCGATGCTCTCGGGCTTAAACGTCGGTTGCTTGAAAGGCCTAATACCTCAGTCAAATCAAAACATACAGAGATCTCCAAAATCCCCAAAAAATAAAACGTACCAACGACCTTAAAAAAAAAAGTTATTGAGAATCGCCGCTAGAGATAAAGCTTCCCTGAAAACAAAAGTGTTTCTTTTCAAAGTCTGCAAATGAAGAACAATCCAACGCTTTTTTTTCCAATGATATAACCAAGGGTGGCAAATTTATGTCCAAAATAATGAAAAACAAATATAAAAAAAAAACTTCCTCGCTTCTACTGCCTAACAATGTACATCATCACGCGCACTCACGTATCCTTCCGTCCTTCATTTCAAATGAACTTACATTTCACTAGCATTTATTTGGTTGAGATAATCGGTAGTTTTCCGCGCAGCGACACAGCGCCTGCCCCTAAAACAAATCATCCACTAATAAAAAAGAGGTTATTACCTTCTCCCCGAAAAGAAAACAAAACCGATTCCGAGACGATAACGAAACGATAAGATAAACAAACCGCGACGACTAGCATTTAAAATGTGAACCTCTTCTATCCCTCGCTCTTGGCGCCCGGCTTAGGACAGATGGAAACTCATGCTGCCCTCGCTGGCAGCCAGTTTCAGCTTCTGTCGCATCGCTTCCCGGCTCGAGTAGTCCGGCAGCTTAAGATAGTTCACGCAGGTCATCACCGATGGCAGATATTCGTCCGGATTCTGGTTGCCGTCCATCTTCTTCCGTACGATCGTCAGCGGAGGCGTGAGGGCCTTGAAACCACCCGTCGGCAGCCGAGGACTTCCGGTTACAAACTGCAGGAACAGTCGCTGCTCTTCCCGGTTGTAGGTGCTCAGGATTTCGTAGAAGTGCAGAATGGCTTGCGAATCTTGCGTGAACCCGTGATCCGTGCGGCAGCACTCGGTCAGCATTCGAACGTCCCACCGTTGGTGCGACGCCGCATTCAGTCCAGATCCACAGAACACGTTCTCCAGCTCCTCCGGGTAGAACATACGCAACCGATTGACCGGGAATACCGAGTCGAATCCTGTGGGAAAGTAATTTCGAATTTGAGAAAATTCCAATGATGCCGAATTGCCACAGGGTTACATACCTTCTCGCAGTGCTTCAAATTGTCGCGAAACGCCTTCGACCAGGAACCAATGGGTCACCAGCGAGATGTACTGATGCAAATTGTGGATGGTGACGGCCATATCGCGGCCACCGCGGCGTAGCTCGATGTTCGGATGACCGGGCAGAACAAAGTCCAGGCCCAGGTCAGCGATCGGACAGCCGTCCAGGTCGAGTGATTCGATCTGTGGAAGAAGAACGATTTTAAGACCCATCTTTCCACTGGAGGTGATATCTCATCTTACCTTTTCAGTCTTCTCCATGGCATCCAGGCTGGGATCGGCCTGTATCAGATCCCGTTGCTTAACGATTTCTGTCAACCGAAGAAGCGTTACCTGCACTTCCGGTGCCACCTGATCGAGATCGGGCAGCCCAACCGAGTTCTCCTCCGACAGCAACCATCGGTAGAACGGTATCGAGTAGGGAAGGTCAAGCTGTGGAAATCAGAAATACCGTTAATGATGAAATTCAATAAAACAACAGATGACGCAGACACATTACCATTCGACTATCCATCACAGCTTTAGCCATAAATTTTCCTAAGAATTTAAACTTGTACTTCAAGCGTGAGATCTGCGAAGTTTTCGCTGTTTTGCTAAGCGGAATCGGAAACAGTCCGTGGGGTGCATTGACGTAGGATACGGCTCCACTGCTGCCACCGGCACCAGTGGATGGCGGCGAAATGAGTGAAAGTTGCTGCTGCTGCGTCGTTGGCGGTGGTGTCTGATTATTCTCCAACTCCGCCTGTTGGGGATTGCTACTCAGCAGCAGATTGTCCGATTGTTCAATCAGCATGTTAAGTGAGTTTTCATTGCTGATGACGAAGCTGCCATCGCTCACATTATGGTCACTATCGTGCTGTTGCTGATGATGGTGATGCCGTGTGCCCATCGGCGACAAGGACGATCGGTTCGTAGTCGTGGCGGAGGTGGTATCATCGTCGATCTGATTCAGCGCAGATTTTACAATGTTGTCCGCAATCGAGCTCGACTGTTGATTGTTGTTATTCTTATAACTATCACTGTCGTTCCATAAACCTAGATCACAGCGTTGCAGTTCGGTTGAGACCAGTGCGTAGAATTCAAGGGTTGGACCCAGACCGGTTCCGACTTCATTTTCGTACTGGATCTCCAGCAGAGCCTTCGAGTGCCCAAAGTCCTACGATACGAAAACAGCCATTATTTAGATATAGGATCAAGGGCAGCAAAGATGAATAACAAACCTGTATGATCGATTCCGCCTGTTTGAGTATGTCCTCGCGAGAAATGGCACGCTTGCGTCGGTCCAGACGAGGTGTTACTCGCTCACTAGTGTCTGCCGAGTTGAGATCGGGCGTCGTATCGAGCAGGCGTTGCAGCGCACGATCGCGATCGAATGATACAGCATAGAACAATAGGTGGCGTGTTTCGAACGGGAACAGGAATGGACAGGCGGCCGCAATCTGCTGCAACCACTGTGGCAAATTGCCAGTCATGATGACCAACGGGTCCTGCAGCTGACGACTGGCCTTGGCAGCGATCTGTAATGAACCAAGGAGGTCAGACTCATCCCTGCGGTTTCAAAGCAACCAACCATGTACCTTCGAATGGATGAATTCAACCTGGGGAATGATGTGACTCTGCGGTACTGAAAAGTACAAAGTGGCCCAATGGCGGTTCAGAGCATTGATGATGCGTAGCATACAGAGGGCATCAAGCGAAGCGTCCTGCACGCTAACCACATCGGGCAGTTTGGATGTCAGGAATGGCATCAGTGGGGAAACGACTGACGGGGCGATACCGTCGATCCAGAATTCCGGTTTCCGGCGCATTATCTTCGATTGGGAATTTTTGCTGTTCTTTCGGGACGAACTGGACTGGCCACTCTTGGAAGCGCTGTTGGAATCTTCCTCCACCGGGCGATAGTAGATGGTATGCTGCTGTACCCAAATGCTGGCGCTTCCTGCAATACCAAGGTAGATGAAAAATACAAATTTTCATTAGTTATCGAGGTTAATCGCTTTAATAAATAAGCTCTTCATGTAATAAACTTACCAATGGGCGTCTCCGTGTCCGTATCGGTCTCGGACTGATCGTTCACCAGCGGCGAGTACTGCCTGATCGCTTGGTACACCGTCATATTGTATGGCAGTACGTGCTCTCCGATCAGGAATTGCAACTTGTGCTTCAGCCCGCCCATCGAAATCATCGCAGCGGCATCGATATTGTCAATATCCTCTTCCGAGTCCTCCTCGCTGTCCACCCGTATTCCTCCGTAGCCGCGCACCACCAGATAGCGCTCGATCGCCTGCACCAAGGCAAGGGGATCGATCTTCACGGTGCCACCCTTCCATTGGCGCAGATTCGTACACTCGGGATGACGTTGGAGGTTACACTGTAAACAAAAATAACCGTTCAAATGCTGTGAACTGAACAGAAACCTCCCCCCTACATACCTTCAACTGGTGCGTATTGAAGAATTTAAGAGCACTTGTATTCGAACGGCCCCCAACCCCGGCGGGAAAATCGTGCACCTTGACCGGAAACTGTTCCAGCTGCGTAACGCATCCGTTCAGCTTGGCCACGAAGGCACTGAACGGTGCACTGTTAATCGCCGGAGCCATATTGCACGAGAAGTTTCCGTCTAACGGAAGGTTGGCAAACACGTGCAGGAACATCCGAAGACGGTCGGCACGTTCCACCAGCTGGTTGTCGTCGTTGGCCATGTAGCTCAGCATGGCTCGGATCAACCCGGAATGGTTCACCTCGAAGGGGGATATGTCGCTCTCAATGAGGATGTCCCGTAGTTCCTTTAGCGCAGCCAGACACTCGCCTTGGTTGCCGTCCATCTTTTGAATAGCACCTGCAGAAGAAGATCATCGAATCAAAATCCCACTGAACTACAATTTACTGAAAAGACGACAAACAAACTTACCAGTTAACCGGGAAAGGATCGAGCAAGCTGGATGCAGCGAACCGCTCGTTGCTCCCACCCCATTCGTTGAGTAACGATTCACAAAGGTGATGGCCTGTTCCCGGATCCATTGACGAGCTTTCTCACGGTTACCCGCAGCAATCAGGTTGGAGTTAGATTGGCTCTTTGCCAGCGCATTGGCGCCGTCCTTGCCGAACGATGCAGTCGAATGATGTGACGATGAGGACGAAGATTGACGTCCCCAGCGGGCCGGATTCAACGAAGCTAGGAAGGACGTCGTCTTTGACGAGGCACCAGAGAATCGTGATCGGGAACTGGACGATGGGGTATTCCGTCCGGAAGAAGATCCCAGAGTGGTTGCCTTATTGATCAATTCCTGCATGACGGACGAAGTGGTGGACGAACTAGACGTTCCAGCCACAGTGGATCCACTGGCTACCGAGTGGGAACCGCTTCCGGAAGCACCGGCATCGTCATGACGAGACTTGGACTTGGAACTGCTCTGGGATTTTCGCTTTGGTGGAACTTTACGCTTGAGGATATCGGAAACCTTCAGCTGGCCGGGACTGTGAGATCGAGTGTCGTGATGGGAAGCAGCCACTGTTGTGGCCACCAAGGTAGCTCCGGCACCGGATGTTACGGACAGAGGAGACGTCAGGATGCCCTGTTCGGCATTGTACGCGAAGGTATCCGGAAAATGATGACTCTGATAGAGATGTGTTTGCTTGCTGGAACCCGCCTCCGCTTGGTGATGATGAGAGGCTTGCTGGTTGATTGGGATGGCCGAGCTGTAGATTGCATTCAGCAGAATGTTTCCATTGTTTGGCGTAGCGATTGCTCCGGGGATACTCGGTTGCATATTAGTGGCCAGCGATTCCAGATGGAGTGTACTGGTGGACATCTGCTGATGATGGTGGTGATTGTGGTGAAGACCCTTGGCCGAGGTGTTCAAATTGATCGCCGTGAAGCTGCTCGATGTTCCGGGTAGATTGGCGGCCGATGTCGGTGAATGCAGCAGAGTCGAACTGGTCGATGGCATCGACATGCTGATCTTACTGGCCATCATCATAGCAGAGTTGAGGTTCTTGACGTGTGGACCGGCACCGCCAACGATGGCAATCGCCTGGGAGCCGGACTTTGAACTTGAGGCAATGGCACTGTCAAAATCGAATGTATTGTTCGGGTGAATGGTAGCCGACGAGGGGGCACTTTGAGCTCCAGATTTGGGCGACGGGGCAGCACAGATCGGTATGGTTGGATCCGTCAACTGAGTGATCTGATGCACGACACCTTCTCGGCGGAAGTGCATCCCGAAGACTTCCGGCAATTTTTGCATCAGGATTTCAGCCATCTGCAGAGCACCGACTACGATTCTGAGATCGTTTGAAGCCATCATTCCGGCAATGTGTGACGAAACCAGTTGATTCTTCAGCACTTCTCGCAGGAGATCGCTATTGGCAAAGTACACCATCCTCAGCAACGCGCGTAGACATTTGTAACGTACCGAGGGGCCAGCCGACGAGCTGTACACCTCATACAGAACCGAAAAGAGGTTCTTGATAAACTCGGCAGCCAATCCTCGTTCCTCCTTGAGACAAGCTATCCGTGCATCTCGAGTAGCATTCGGTGGCCTAGTGGCCAGATTGACACATCCAGTGCCTCCGGAAGTGCCAGAATTAGCTTCGCCAGTTTCACCCGAGATCCCAGCAGCGGCTGCTATTGCACCTGTATTGATCACTACAGCTCCCTGTTGCTGAGCCAGCAGAGCATGATTGATCTTCCTTTGAGCGGCCCGGGTCGTCCCGGTGTCCTCGTTGATCTGTTGCATCGAGTGGAAATCAATCGTGTAGGTCCGCCCCAGCGTACTCAGGCTGATTTCGTCATCCGAATTCAGGTGGGCCGCTTCGATCATACGGGAATCGATGGAAGAGTATGGTCTCCAAACGCCACGATCGTCTTTCCATTGCCACTGGACAGCATCCTGAACGTTGGCTTGGGTTCGCTCGAGCAAGGAGTCCACTCCGAAGATACCGTCCGTCGGTAGACGAGGCATCAGCTCTCCTATCAGACACGTGATTTCGTACAGTTCCGAGGGAGATCTGGGAACCAGTTCTACATCCGACGTTACGGGATCCGCCGATCCGGTGAGCAAATAGAGAAGCGTAGAGGCTATGTCGTTTTTCAGCAGGGTGATAGCCAGATCCGGGCAGTTTGCGCACATGACACTCAGCATTCGGACAACATTGGTGAATGTTCCGGAGTTGAGAACCGAAGGGGTGACTACCAGCAGTTGTTGGCAGTTTTTCAGCAGTTCCATGCTTGCTATCTCCTGAAGGATAGTCGGATCATGCTGGAAGCTATCCACCAAGCGATAGAATGCAGTGCATATGCTTTCGACGCTCTTTTTATCTTGCTGAGCTAGAAGTCGAGCCAGTAAGGGCAGAGACTCTTTAACGAAGTGAAATTCATCGGCATGTAGATTCAGACAGCAATTGGCTGTGATGGCTAGAGCCGCCCGCTGGGCGTTGATGGAGAAGAAGTCCAGATAAGTGAGACAGGCCGACACTCCATTGGCCTGTAGAATACTTTTGTTGTGCCGACGGGAAAGGATTTCCAATGCCGTGAGACTTTGTTCTGCCACGTCCATGCACTGGATGACCTGAAGTTTTTCAAGGAATGCCGGAATTGCGTCGACGACGGTCCCGGATGATCGTGGGAGAGCTTCTAGCATGTACGCCAATGCACGGCAAGCATTGTTCATGATGTCAAAGTTGTGCTCCATTCGGAGAAGGGTGATCAGTGCTGGTACGACCTGTTTGATTGGGAATCCCGCTAGGGTGTCCTCGTTACCCATGACCAACATTTGGCACATTTCGATTGCAGCTTGCAGCTGTTGACTTTCGTCCTGACATTGCAGCCCTTGGAGAAGCTGTTGCGCTTTGGAACTGCTGTTTGCTCCCATGGTACGATGCAGTAGGTGGTGCATCCTGGGTCCCAGAGCACCGAACAAGTGCGGAGGGAGACCCCGGGCTTCCAGGAGAGCCTGAAGCCTGCCAACTTCGCTGTCGTCGCTTTCCGAATCGGGATGCGGAACGGCAGCGGCAGCACCCAAGCTGGCGGAATTCGAAGCAGCACCACCGGAAGCACCGGCACCGGTCACGTTCATCATGTTCACATCGATGGGAGCGGATGTTCCGACCGAAGCCGATCCAAGACTGGTCGTTTTGTGCAGTTTGATGAATGGGTGCGACGAGCTGGATCCGCTCGGTTGATGGTGATGCGAATGGTCGTTGTTATTGTTCCGAGAGCCATCATTGGCCATTGCTGAGTTGGATGGTCCAGGCGCTGCTGCCGTTGGATCGTAACCTGCCGCTAGTGATCCGAGCGAAGTGGAATTGTTATTGTTTGCCGCCGTCACCACCGATGACGACGAATAGGACGAGGCACCTTTGGAGGATGAGCCTTTGGCAGTAGCACCGGAGGAGCTGCCAGCCGAATATGGATTGGCCGAACCACTACCGGAACCACCACCACGATGACTGCCCGAGCGAGAAGATTGTGATGATGATGGCTGTTGCTGCTGCACTTGACTGGGATTGGCGGTGTTCGAACTAACACAAGAACCCGTTGTTGCGGATTGATAAGAACTTTTGCCACGAGAACTACGTCTTAGCAGGCCGCTAGGTAGGTGCCCCTGGGTGCTGTGATTGTGACTGCTACTACTACTTGCACTACCGATGTGAACACTACCGGAATGATACTGCTGCGGCTGCTGTTGGTGATGATGTTGGGGCTCCCTACCTCCGCTGCTACGAGCTAGACGTGCCCCCAGGTTCGGGGCTTTATGGCTGCTGCCCGTACCGCCCGGGTGTTGGTCCCCCACTTTCTGTCGCTTTTTCGGTACTACGACGCTCGACGATGCTACTACTGTTGCTAACCCTGCTGATGGCTCTGGATGGTGGTGATGGGAACGCAAATTCCGTCCCTCTTCCACCGTACTTGTTTGTACCTGTACTGCTGCTGCTGCTGCTGCTACTGCTGACCGGTCTAGCTTAGAACCAGATCTACTACGCTTGCGTTCCTGTTGCTGCTTTTCCTCCTGGAACACTCGATCGAAGACCTTTTTCGACAGCTTCGGGTCCCCTCCTTTCCTGCGTTTCTCCTTCTCGATTGATCGTGACGACGAAGCGATGGAACTGACACTACCTCCACGACTACTACTGCAAGTGCTGCTGGTGGAACTGTGGCCGTAAAAGTCCGGCAAATGTTGTTCGTGGTGTGATTGTTTAGTTAATTTTTGCTTTGCTCCTCCCTCAAATGGAAGCGATGACAACGACGATAGAGACGATGAGCAAGAAAGTGTCGAAGTAGTTGGTGATACTGCTAACGCTGATCCAACGGCGGCGGAGGTGGCACTATGACTATTGCTAGTGGACTTTGTGCTATCATGTATGTTACCAGCGTGCTTCCGTATGGCGCCGTGACGCTTACTGCACTGGGCTTCCACCGAAGGTGATGACGCCTGCTGGATCTTACTGCTACTGCTACTACTGGCAATTGGAGCAAGAGGAATTTCCTTCGAAACGGTTCGTGAACGTGTTCGGAAAGCTATCGGCGAGGGAGTCGAATTCTGTTGCTGCTTCCTGTCTTCCTCGTGCTTGCGTTTTCGACCACTGCTGCTTTGTCTGCTGTTGTAATCCGTTTTCGACGTTTCGGAACGCTGATGGGTTTTCTGAGAAGATCTACTTTTTGATCTCCGACTGCCACTGCTATTTTCTGCTGCTGCTGTTGTTGTTGTTGTTGTTGTTTGATGGTGGTGTTGATACCGATGATATTGTTGTTGTTGCTGCTGCTGATGATGATGCCCCTCCGTCACTGCAGAGAGCACTTGCTTACCAACGGATTCGGCCATAGACGACACTTCGACGTCCCCTTGTGTCCATTAAATAGCATACCCGTGGTCGAGATTCGGCGACGCTGATGGGCGGCTGCTGCTCCTGGACACAACACTAATATTTGCGTATTTTTTTTTTTGATTTTTCAAGTCTCACACAAAAAGATTCATGCACTGCACAACACACTACAGTGAATATTCTACACTAATGAACCTGACACTGCTTTACGATCTCAGGTCAAACGATGATGCAGCGGCTAGTGCCAGCATACGATTGGAACGCGACGATTCTCCTTCACTCCGTTGCTATTATTAGATTCTCGAATCTGAAAGCACAAACAGAGAAAAAAAGGGAAAAATTAAAACCGATGTTACTCGCATGGTCTTTATCTACAGGGGGGGCGGCAAGAGTTAATATTTCAATGAGGTTAACTAAAGTGGTAATAGTAAATTTTATGTGCAGCAGGTATGTTGTACACAGAATTGTGAGTATTTTTTTTTAATAAATCAGTGATATTTGAAGAATGTCGAACTTCTAATATACATTACAATGGATTGTATATGATGCGCATAAACTTTATGAAAGTGCTTAAACATGTTTCGCCACTACGAACATAGTCTCAAACGTGGTGAATTGGTTAGGTCATTATTTGATCGAAACTCCAGCACGATTAGGAGAATCTAGAACATCTAATAGACATGAAAATGAATTTGCTAATGACAGTCCGAAACGAGGTTGATGCAGTAGATCATTTGATCTGAAGTCCAGGATTATTTTGAGAATCTAAAACATATACTGTATGAATCCGCTTGGACCTATATCGTTGCTAATGCCATCGTGCAGTCCTGGTAAAAATGATAACCGGCAAGGTAGATTTCAGCAACTGAGCAAAAATTAAGTTTTCAATAGTTCCTACACCTAAGATGGCAGCCCCATCACGGGGATAGGAGACCTTCGGGTCGACCACCTACCGAATTTTACAAGGTGTTACAGAAACCAACCGGACTACCGAACTACAGGACAAGGATAATTTCTACAGTCAACTGAATGCCGTCGTGGATAAAGTCCCAAAGGGTGACATCAAGATCTACACTGGCGACTTGAATGCGAAGATCGGCTCCGACAACACGGACTATGAGCGTGTCGTGGGACGCCATGATTTCGAAGAAATGAGCGAAAACGGCGTGCAGTTTGCAGAATTATGTGGCAATAACGACGATCGGGAGCTCGACCAGTGCACAAAATCACGTGGGACATACGTGAATATACCGAAAATCGACATCCCCATTAATCGAAAATGGAGACGGAGCCTTCCGGAATGAACATCGCGTCTGACTATACCCTTCTAATCGGCTAGATCCACCTACGCATTGCACGGATCCAGCGGAGGGAGGAGAGGCTCGCACAGAGATTTAACACACGCCGACTAGAAGAACAGTGGACGGTCATCAAGAATGCGTTGATCGAAACTAGTGATAACAATCTGAGTGAACTGTGCACTCAGCGAAGAGTGGATCCAAGGCGAATAAGGCCAACCGCCTCCTCTACGATATCTCACGACGCATGGGTGGACCAAGGATGACGATGTCAGTGGACAGTTACTAATCGGCTGTACAGTTACCTAGCGACCCCATTGACCAGCTGAAACGTTGGTTTGAGCACTTGTTCAAGTTTCGACGTCCAACCAACCATCAACATCTCGGCATGATCCGCCAAAGGTACGGCACATCACTCGCGTCAACTCCGAGGCCCCATCACTGCACGAGATTGAAGGAGCTATCCGAAGTATGAAATCCTAAAAGGCTATCACATATCAACAGAGATGCTCAAAGCTGACCCAATGCTATCCGCACAAATGTTGCATCAACTATTCTGTAATATCTGGGCCAACTGGATGCAAGGCGTCTTAGTGAAGGTCCCTAAGAAGGCGGATTAGACTGTACGCGACAACTGGCGAGGCATCATGTTGTTCTCAAATTTCTGTGCAAAGTTATCCTGAATCGGATACAGAAGAAGATCGACGCGACTCTCCGGTGTCAGCAGGCAGGATTCCGTGCCGGAAGACCTTGATGTGGATCATATTGTCACGCTCCGCAGCATCCTGGAGCAGGTCAACGAATTGCAAGAGTCCCTCTATTTGGTATTCATTGACTACGAAAAAGCTTTCGATCGACTCAGTCACGAAAATCTGTGCAACGCCCTGAGACGCAAAGGAGTCCCGGATAAAATCGAAGTGCAGTACGAGGCTTTCCCATGTAGAGTCCTGCGGAGCCTTGTCCGACCTTATACGGGTAGTCGCAGGTGTATACCATCTCCGTTATTGTAAATCATGGTAGGTGCAATTGACCGTGTACCGAACCGTCGACTGCTTTGGCACCCTATCACTATGGAGCACCTCAACGACTTCGATTTGGCTGATGATGTTGCGCTATTAGCACAAAGGCGCTTCGCTGATGCACGCTCTGATCTGAATACACCATTAGACTTATGATATCAGTGAGCTGATGAGCTGCGGTTCCTAAAAATGACCCGCGGGTCATCAGCTGACTTTAGTGAGTTGGATCTATAGAACACCTCGGGAGTCCATCTCTAGATCTGAGCTGAAGCCGAGCATAGTGAGAGCAATTGTGCTGGAGAATCAAGGTAGATTCCGTCCTGAGCTGTGCTTCCATTTATTAACGTCCTTTTAAACGAACCACCTTGAAGAGGTGGAAAAAGTTCATTCAGGACGGCCAAGTCGTAACCAGCACCCAGCCGATTAGCATCCCCAGGTAGCGATAATCACAGGCTACTTAGAGTTGGCTATAACCTCTTTGCTCTGTCATCGTCATCACGGGTACTACCGATTTATTGACAATAGTGCATTAGTGACAACGATGATCCCCCGTTCTTGTTCGCATTACTGACGGCAAATATCACCGCCAGCAACCCCACCGTGCACCGCGTGGAGGTAAGAATCGGAGTTCAGGTGCACAGAGGTCGCAAATCGCCGGTCAGGGCAGAACCCAACAACCTTTGATAGGCGTTTTTATGCACCTGCTTTACCCGGCCTCCGTCCTGAGCGATATTTCACGTGCTGGGCGAGATTTTGCGAATGTACGAGAGGGATAGAAGTACTAGTTGTCTCTCTCATTCAAATTCTGCTCCGCTCCGCAAATGCACGCTCATATTTGAATACACCATTTGACTTATGATATCAGTGAACTGATGAGCTGCGGTTCCTAAAAATGACCCACGGGTCATCAGCTGACTTGAATGAATCGGGTCTAAAGACCAGCTTGGGAGCCCATCTCCAGATCTGAGCTGGTGATCTGGAGCTGAAGCCAAGAATAGTGACAGCGAATCTGCTGAAGAATTAACATCATTAACAACAATCTGTATGTAGACTGGATTACATGGCTAGAAAAAGGCGTAACATCGTGTAACACGATGTCGATCCATCGCGTGTGAAATTTGTGTAAATATTTCTATAATTTAAAGGTGAGCTGATGAGCTGTTCAAAAGAATCGACTCCCTTGAATCAGCTGGACGGGTCTGATCCGCTCAGCCAGATGAGCTATTTTGCCCACCTCTAGTGCCTACCGATATGACCGAATTAAGAAAAACATGCAATGCCTAGTTCCAATCTTGGATTGTCGCCGACAATGTATAGACTGCTAGCAACAGGATCAGTGTTACTTTCAGAACAAGTAAGCTGCCAGAGGAGGTCAAGCTTTACTTCTGCCATAACAAGGTGATGGCGTTCATTAACAAACCGGTTATCTGTCACAACTGTCTCCGATACGGACACAAGACAGACTCATGCCGATCAAAAAAGCGATGCACGGTGTGTGCACTTCAACATGAAGGAATGGACAGTGGAGACTGTCCAAACCCAAAGAAGTGTATGTACTGCACGAAAGCACACAGAACAACGGACAGTGAATGACCAGAATGATCAAGGCAAAGAAATATCAAAACCATCATGTCCTAGACGAATCTGACATGGAGGCACGGGAACTGAATCCAGTGTTGACCCAAAATCGATACGAAATACTCGAAAACGTGGAAGAATTCCCGACACCAGCAGACAGTTTCGCTGATATGGTTGCAGGCAACTTCAAAACTAAGAATCCACATCAGTATCGAAAGGAGAGGAACAAACGAACACTACAACAGGAGGATGTCAACATCGCGGATAAAGTTCAAGTATTTGCCGACAAGAAGAAGAAGACGGATCAGGAAGGAGAGAAGAATGGCGTAGCTCTATTAAAAAAGTATCGTGTGACGGACTTCGATAGCTGGGCTCAGAAATTCGAACAACTTCGTTAACAGAACATAACTCAACAACTCGGTGCAACCGGAATGGACGTAGCAGAATCAACTAATGAAACAATCAACAAGAGTAACATGCCCAGCAGCTCCCAAACTGGAAAGCTTATGGGTTGGCCGGACTTCATACATGAAACGGATAATGTAAAACCGTGAGTAGTAACGTAATGATCAACGTACTTAGAATATTCCAATGTAACATACAAAGTTTACAAAATAATAAGTTTGTAGCCATCATTATCAACAACAAATATAAATCAAGAGAAATATCAGTCCCCACTTTCGATAAAATACAGTGCTTAGCTAGACAAATAGTATCTTTAGACCTAGTAGTAGTATCTATTTACATTGCTCCTAATGTAAAAAATACAGACCTCAAAGCGAGCTTAAGGCAAATATATGACAGGATCGAGTGCTACCGTATAGTTTTCGTTGGCGGAGACTTCAACGCGCACCACTTCACATAGGATAAGCGGATTTCGGATATCAAGGGACCCGGAAATGAACTAGCCTAGCCTATACTAAATCTCCTTAATAAAGAATTATAAAACATAGGTTTTAACAGGGCTGGTAGCAATCACTGCTGTTAAAAATAGTGATTTTAGTGACCATTTTGATGAAATAAATGACCAAATAGTGACTTATAGTTGTAAAAATAGTGACTAAAAGTGACCTAAAAGTAAATTTTAATGAAAACTCTTAGGAATTTCTGAGGAGCTACAGAGGAAAATTCCAAGGGCATTCTGAGCATAATTTCATAATTTTTTTGGAGAAAACGAATCCGGAGCATAAGTCTTTGGAATTTTTTTTGAAAATAATAAAGGAGGATTACAATTAAATCTGAAAATAACTCCAGGACATCTTCAAAGGAATTCGGAAAAAGAATTCAGGAGAGTTTGCCAAACAAATTATAAGTAATTTGTGAGGAGAAATTCCAATGAATTCTTAGGAGACTTTCAATGTGAGTAGAATTCCAAGGGAAGGAGTGAGATTGAAAAGGAAACTCCGATGTCA